GAGTGGAGTGGATTGGATTGGAGTGGAGTGGAGTGGAGTGGAGTGTAGTGGATTGGATTGGAGTGGAGTGGAGTGGAGTGGTGTGGAGTGGAGTGGAGTGGAGTGGAGTGGAGTGGAGTGGAGTGGATTGGAGTGGAGTGGAGTGGAGTGGAGTGGATTGGATTGGAGTGGATTGGATTGGATTGGAGTGGAGTGGAGTGGAGTGGATTGGAGTGGAGTGGAGTGGAGTGGATTGGAGTGGAGTGGATTGGATTGGATTGGAGTGGAGTGGAGTGGAGTGGATTGGAGTGGAGTGGAGTGGAGTGGATTGGAGTGGAGTGGATTGGAGTGGAGTGGAGTGGAGTGGATTGGAGTGGAGTGGATTGGAGTGGAGTGGAGTGGAGTGGATTGGAGTGGAGTGGAGTGGAGTGGATTGGAGTGGAGTGGTGTGGATTGGAGTGGAGTGGAGGAGAGGCATTTAGTCAGTTGCTGCTGTTCCGTGGGATGCAGTGGGACCTCACTTGCTTGTAGGGTTTAGGGTTAGGCAGAGAGAGAGTCACCTTGTAGGTGCGTAGAGGCAGAGAGAGAGTCACCTTGTAGGTGCGGATAGGCAGAGAGAGAGTCACCTTGTAGGTGCGGATAGGCAGAGAGAGAGTCACCTTGTAGGTGCAGATAGGCAGAGAGAGAGTCACCTTGTAGGTGCGGATGGGCAGAGAGAGAGTCACTTTGTAGGTGCGGATGGGCAGAGAGAGAGTCACCTTGTAGGTGCGGATGGGCAGAGAGAGAGAGAGTCACTTTGTAGGTGCGGATGGGCAGAGAGAGAGTCACCTTGTAGGTGCGGATGGGCAGAGAGAGAGAGTCACTTTGTAGGTGCGGATGGGCAGAGAGAGAGTCACCTTGTAGGTGCGGATGGGCAGAGAGAGAGAGTCACTTTGCAGGTGCGGATGGGCAGAGAGAGAGTCACCTTGTAGGTGCGGATGGGCAGAGAGAGAGAGTCACCTTGTAGGTGCGGATGGGCAGAGAGAGAGTCACCTTGTAGGTGCGGATAGGCAGAGAGAGAGAGTCACCTTGTAGGTGCGGATAGGCAAAGAGAGAGAGTCACTTTGTAGGTGCGGATGGGCAGAGAGAGAGTCACCTTGTAGGTGCGGATGGGCAGAGAGAGAGTCACCTTGTAGGTGCGGATGGGCAGAGAGAGAATAACCTTGTAGGTGCGGATGGGCAGAGAGAGAGTCACTTTGAAGGTGCGGATGGGCAGAGAGAGAGTCACCTTGTAGGTGCGGATGGGCAGAGAGAGAGAGTCACTTTGTAGGTGCGGATGGGCAGAGAGAGAGTCACCTTGTAGGTGCGGATGGGCAGAGAGAGAGTCACTTTGTAGGTGCGGATGGGCAGAGAGAGAGTCACCTTGTAGGTGCGGATGGGCAGAGAGAGAGAGTCACCTTGTAGGTGCGGATGGGCAGAGAGAGAGAGAGAGTCACCTTGTAGGTGCGGATGGGCAGAGAGAGAGAGAGTCACCTTGTAGGTGCGGATGGGCAGAGAGAGAGAGTCACCTTGTAGGTGCGGATGGGCAGACAGAGAGAGAGTCACCTTGTAGGTGCGGATGGGCAGAGAGAGAGAGTCACCTTGTAGGTGCGGATGGGCAGAGAGAGAGAGAGTCACCTTGTAGGTGCGGATGGGCAGAGAGAGAGAGAGAGTCACCTTGTAGGTGCGGATGGGCAGAGAGAGAGAGTCACCTTGTAGGTGCGGATGGGCAGAGAGAGAGAGTCATCTTGTAGGTGCGGATGGGCAGAGAGAGAGAGAGTCACCTTGTAGGTGCGAATGGGCAGAGAGAGAGAGTCACCTTGTAGGTGCGGATGGGCAGAGAGAGAGAGAGTCACCTTGTAGGTGCGGATGGGCAGAGAGAGAGAGAGTCATCTTGTAGGTGCGGATGGGCAGAGAGAGAGAGAGTCACCTTGTAGGTGCGGATGGGCGGAGAGAGAGAGTCACCTTGTAGGTGCGGATGGGCAGAGAGAGAGTCACCGTGTAGGTGCGGATGGGCAGAGAGAGAGAGAGAGAGTCACCTTGTAGGTGCGGATGGGCAGAGAGAGAGAGTCACCTTGTAGGTGCGGATGGGCAGACAGAGAGAGAGTCACCTTGTAGGTGCGGATGGGCAGAGAGAGAGAGTCACCTTGTAGGTGCGGATGGGCAGAGAGAGAGAGAGTCACCTTGTAGGTGCGGATGGGCAGAGAGAGAGAGAGAGTCACCTTGTAGGTGCGGATGGGCAGAGAGAGAGAGTCACCTTGTAGGTGCGGATGGGCAGAGAGAGAGAGTCATCTTGTAGGTGCGGATGGGCAGAGAGAGAGAGAGTCACCTTGTAGGTGCGAATGGGCAGAGAGAGAGAGTCACCTTGTAGGTGCGGATGGGCAGAGAGAGAGAGAGTCACCTTGTAGGTCCGGATGGGCAGAGAGAGAGAGAGTCACCTTGTAGGTGCGGATGGGCAGAGAGAGAGAGTCACCTTGTAGGTGCGGATGGGCAGAGAGAGAGAGTCACCTTGTAGGTGCGGATGGGCAGAGAGAGAGAGTCACCTTGTAGGTGCGGATGGGCAGAGAGAGAGAGTCATCTTGTAGGTGCGGATGGGCAGAGAGAGAGAGAGTCACCTTGTAGGTGCGAATGGGCAGAGAGAGAGAGTCACCTTGTAGGTGCGGATGGGCAGAGAGAGAGAGAGTCACCTTGTAGGTCCGGATGGGCAGAGAGAGAGAGAGTCACCTTGTAGGTGCGGATGGGCAGAGAGAGAGAGTCACCTTGTAGGTGCGGATGGGCAGAGAGAGAGAGTCACCTTGTAGGTGCGGATGGGCGGAGAGAGAGAGTCACCTTGTAGGTGCGGATGGGCAGAGAGAGAGAGAGTCACCTTGTAGGTGCGGATGGGCGGAGAGAGAGAGTCACCTTGTAGGTGCGGATGGGCAGACAGAGAGAGAGTCACCTTGTAGGTGCGGATGGGCAGAGAGAGAGAGTCACCTTGTAGGTGCGGATGGGCAGAGAGAGAGAGAGTCACCTTGTAGGTGCGGATGGGCAGAGAGAGAGAGAGAGTCACCTTGTAGGTGCGGATGGGCAGAGAGAGAGAGTCACCTTGTAGGTGCGGATGGGCAGAGAGAGAGAGTCATCTTGTAGGTGCGGATGGGCAGAGAGAGAGAGAGTCACCTTGTAGGTGCGAATGGGCAGAGAGAGAGAGAGAGTCACCTTGTAGGTGCGGATGGGCAGAGAGAGAGAGTCACCTTGTAGGTGCGGATGGGCAGAGAGAGAGAGTCATCTTGTAGGTGCGGATGGGCAGAGAGAGAGAGAGTCACCTTGTAGGTGCGGATGGGCAGAGAGAGAGAGTCACCTTGTAGGTGCGGATGGGCAGAGAGAGAGAGAGTCACCTTGTAGGTCCGGATGGGCAGAGAGAGAGAGAGTCACCTTGTAGGTGCGGATGGGCAGAGAGAGAGAGTCACCTTGTAGGTGCGGATGGGCAGAGAGAGAGAGAGTCACCTTGTAGGTCCGGATGGGCGGAGAGAGAGAGTCACCTTGTAGGTGCGGATGGGCAGAGAGAGAGAGAGTCACCTTGTAGGTGCGGATGGGCAGAGAGAGAGAGTCACCTTGTAGGTGCGGATGGGCAGACAGAGAGAGAGTCACCTTGTAGGTGCGGATGGGCAGAGAGAGAGAGTCACCTTGTAGGTGCGGATGGGCAGAGAGAGAGAGAGTCACCTTGTAGGTGCGGATGGGCAGAGAGAGAGAGAGAGTCACCTTGTAGGTGCGGATGGGCAGAGAGAGAGAGTCATCTTGTAGGTGCGGATGGGCAGAGAGAGAGAGTCATCTTGTAGGTGCGGATGGGCAGAGAGAGAGAGAGTCACCTTGTAGGTGCGAATGGGCAGAGAGAGAGAGAGAGTCACCTTGTAGGTGCGGATGGGCAGAGAGAGAGAGTCACCTTGTAGGTGCGGATGGGCAGAGAGAGAGAGTCATCTTGTAGGTGCGGATGGGCAGAGAGAGAGAGAGTCACCTTGTAGGTGCGAATGGGCAGAGAGAGAGAGTCACCTTGTAGGTGCGGATGGGCAGAGAGAGAGAGAGTCACCTTGTAGGTCCGGATGGGCAGAGAGAGAGAGAGTCACCTTGTAGGTGCGGATGGGCAGAGAGAGAGAGTCACCTTGTAGGTGCGGATGGGCAGAGAGAGAGAGTCACCTTGTAGGTGCGGATGGGCGGAGAGAGAGAGTCACCTTGTAGGTGCGGATGGGCAGAGAGAGAGAGAGTCACCTTGTAGGTGCGGATGGGCAGAGAGAGAGAGTCACCTTGTAGGTGCGGATGGGCAGACAGAGAGAGAGTCACCTTGTAGGTGCGGATGGGCAGAGAGAGAGAGTCACCTTGTAGGTGCGGATGGGCAGAGAGAGAGAGAGTCACCTTGTAGGTGCGGATGGGCAGAGAGAGAGAGAGAGTCACCTTGTAGGTGCGGATGGGCAGAGAGAGAGAGTCACCTTGTAGGTGCGGATGGGCAGAGAGAGAGAGTCATCTTGTAGGTGCGGATGGGCAGAGAGAGAGAGAGTCACCTTGTAGGTGCGAATGGGCAGAGAGAGAGAGTCACCTTGTAGGTGCGGATGGGCAGAGAGAGAGAGAGTCACCTTGTAGGTCCGGATGGGCAGAGAGAGAGAGAGTCACCTTGTAGGTGCGGATGGGCAGAGAGAGAGAGTCACCTTGTAGGTGCGGATGGGCAGAGAGAGAGAGTCACCTTGTAGGTGCGGATGGGCGGAGAGAGAGAGTCACCTTGTAGGTGCGGATGGGCAGAGAGAGAGTCACCGTGTAGGTGCGGATGGGCAGAGAGAGAGAGAGAGAGTCACCTTGTAGGTGCGGATGGGCAGAGAGAGAGAGTCACCTTGTAGGTGCGGATGGGCAGAGAGAGAGAGAGTCACCTTGTAGGTGCGGATGGGCAGAGAGAGAGAGAGTCACCTTGTAGGTGCGGATGGGCAGAGAGAGAGAGAGAGTCACCTTGTAGGTGCAGATGGGCAGAGAGAGAGAGTCACCTTGTAGGTGCGGATGGCGAGGTGGCGCCTGGTGGCCCCCTCATGGGCTTGCAGCAGCGAGTTCACCAGCCCGAACAGCTGCTCCATCACCTGGTGAGGCGCAGTGGGGAGTGGGCAGTGGGGAGAGAGGGGGGAATCAAAGAGTTCACCAGCCCGAACAGCTGCTCCATCACCTGGTGAGGCGCAGTGGGGAGTGGGCAGTGGGGAGAGAGGGGGGAATCCAAGAGTTCACCAGCCCGAACAGCTGCTCCATCACCTGGTGAGGCGCAGTGGGGAGTGGGCAGTGGGGAGAGAGGGGGGAATCAAAGAGTTCACCAGCCCGAACAGCTGCTCCATCACCTGGTGAGGCGCAGTGGGGAGTGGGCAGTGGGGAGAGAGGGGGGAATCAAAGAGTTCACCAGCCCGAACAGCTGCTCCATCACCTGGTGAGGCGCAGTGGGGAGTGGGCAGTGGGGAGAGAGGGGGGAATCAAAGAGTTCACCAGCCCGAACAGCTGCTCCATCACCTGGTGAGGCGCAGTGGGGAGTGGGCAGTGGGGAGAGAGGGGGGAATCCAAGAGTTCACCAGCCCGAACAGCTGCTCCATCACCTGGTGAGGCGCAGTGGGGAGTGGGCAGTGGGGAGAGAGGGGGGAATCAAAGAGTTCACCAGCCCGAACAGCTGCTCCATCACCTGGTGAGGCGCAGTGGGGAGTGGGCAGTGGGGAGAGAGGGGGGAATCAAAGAGTTCACCAGCCCGAACAGCTGCTCCATCACCTGGTGAGGCGCAGTGGGGAGTGGGCAGTGGGGAGAGAGGGGGGAATCAAAGAGTTCACCAGCCCGAACAGCTGCTCCATCACCTGGTGAGGCGCAGTGGGGAGTGGGCAGTGGGGAGAGAGGGGGGAATCCAAGAGTTCACCAGCCCGAACAGCTGCTCCATCACCTGGTGAGGCATGGTGGGGAGCGAGGGAGATGAGAAAGAGTGTGGGGAGAGTGGGGCAAGAGGAGTGGGAGAGAGAAGAACATCATCAGAATCGAGCAGAGAAGAAGTGAAAGTTACGGTGAAAGACTTTGCCCCACAGGAGCTGAGAGGAAGAGGAGGAGCCATCCTACCTGAGCGCACTCACAGGGTCTTATCACAGGCACAGTCAAGGCAGGCACAGTCAAGGCAGGCACAGCCAAGGCAGGCACATATTCAGGGAGGCACATATTCAGGGAGGCACATATTCAGGGAGGGCTGAAAGAAGCGACTCACAGCGTCCTGCCGGAGGTCATCGTTGCCCGACTTGGCGAGCTGCTTGTACACGCGGCCGTCACATCCCATGCACTCCACCACCTTGGGCGCATTCACCCCGTGCATCACCCTGGTCGGATGGTCAGTTGAGAAACAGGGAAGAGACGCAAGGAGGAAAGAGATCGGCAGCGTGCTTGCACGGAAAGGCACGGCCGTCCGACCCCATACACTCCACCACCTTCGGTGTGTTCACCCCGTGCATCACCCTGGTGGGAAAGGCTGTGGGGGAGGAGGGGGAGTGGGGAGGAGGAGGAGGAGGAGGAAGAAAGTGGCACGTGTGTTACGCGGGGAGGTCGTCCATTGAGCCCTGGTGGTGACTCTTGAGAAACCTCAGAAGTAAATCTCAAGAGTCAACAGAGAGCAGCGAGTTGCAAAGATGGACGTTGCGACTTGCATCAGTGTGGCATGGTTGGGGTGGGGAGGAAAGGGGGTAACGAGAGAGAGAAAGAGAGTTGCATGTGGAAGGTGGAGGAGCGTGAGCAGGCTACTCAACATAGAACCAAACACAGGCAGGTTATGAGCGCGAATCTGACTTGATACTGCCATGCGTTCACTCAATGCATGCTGCTCAGTGTGCTACTCACTGAAAGCTGCTCATTCACTTCAATCCGCCCACTCACTAAAAAATGCCCACTCACTAACAATTGCCCACTCACTAAAAGATGCACACTCACTAAGAAATGCCTACTCGCAATAAAATGACCACTCACTAAAAAACGCCCACTCACAACACAAAAACAATGCCCACTCACAAAAACATTACCATTGAAAAATGCCCACTCACAAAAACATGGCCACTGACTTGGTGCCCCTCACTTACCGCATGCTGTCCTTGAGTCCGCAGAAGGCAGGGAAGGAACCCGGGGCATAGCAGCAGGTTCGGTCCACAGGCACCGAGGCTGTGAGCACCGGCACCTGGGGGCGGGCAGCAGGGCGGTGGGGGCATAACGTGAGGTGAATGACGGCAGGAGATAGCTCTTCAGGAGCCTCAGAAATCCACTGGCACCGAGGCTGTGTGCGCCGGCACCTGGGGACGGGTGGTAGGTTGGGACAGAGAGCTGAGGACACCTGAGGGCATGTGGCAAGGGCCGGGACAGAAACGTGCATGGGCGACCGGCCAACCATATGAACACCTTATAGCTTGTTTACATAACTTCAACACAAAATGCTCAGGCTGGCTAAGCCAGCATACGTTTTGTGAATGACCATTGTGGTTGTGAGGCACTCTGCGTTGCCAATATGCTGCTGTACAAAAGACAATCAACATCTTTTTGAGAATTCTCAATAGGGTCTGTTCCACTTGCATGTTGTGCATCTCCAACCCGCATGTTGCATGTTGTGCATCTCCAACCCGCATATTGCTTCCCAGCAAACCACTCACCCGTAAGAGGTCCCTGACACTGCGGAAGTTTCTCGGAAGCTGCTTCAAGCGCATGAGATCCTGAGGCGGGTGGGATGGTGGATGGTGGAGAGTCAGCGGATTGCGGATTTGCAGAGAAGAACGAGGAGGAGAAAGTGGAAAGCGGTAATCCAGTGGAGCAAGGAGAAAGATGAAGCAGATAGCAAGTGAGGTGCAGCAAAGAGAATGTGCGAGGTGAGGCCCTGGAGGAAGCATCGCAAGTGGATAGATAACCACCATGTACCTCTTCACACACACTGTTACCGCATTCCACCGAACCACACCCACCTCCTTGCTGGACTCCATCTCCGCCAGGCGGATGTACAGATCCATCAGCTGCTGCATCTGGAGACACACGGGGGAAGGGGGAGGGGGGGAAGTGTTGGTTGGCAAGCTGGCTGCGGGTTGAACAAAGATGGCGCACCACAGGCTGAAGACGGCATTCCATGATTCCACACAGATCCATCGGCTGCTGCATCTGGAGACACACAGGGAGGGAAGGTTGAGGGGTGGGTTTGGTTGGCAGGCAGGCGGGTTGAGCAAAGATGGCGCACTGGGAGGGGGGGGGGGAAGGTGGAAGCACAGCACAGGATGAGGACAGCATTACATTCCATACATATCCATCAGCTCATGCATTTTGCGCCAAGATAGAAGGGGGTTTGGGTTGGCATTGACAGGCAGGGGGACAGACAGGAAGTAGAAAGAGGAATGCTAGGGTCTGCCAGCAACTGTTCTGCCCACTTATCCACTCAACAGCCAGCCTGGCAGCACGCCTATTTTTGTCTTACCTCATCCAGCATGGGCTTGTGCCGCTCAGCCATGCCACCCAGGACAGCCTTTGCCGCCCGGATCTTGTCCTCATCCACGACAAAGAGGTTGCGCCCGCGCTGGCTGCTGCGCACCCTGTTGCCATTGGCCAGCGCCATGAGCTGGTGGTGGGGAGGGGGGCAGGGTGGAGGTGGGTATGGGATGGATTGGGAAGGGAGAGAGGGGAGAGGGGAGGGGAGTGTTTAAACAAGTTGGAGGAGTTTTGAGACAATATGTGTGCACTGTGATGCTGCGTACTTTTGAGGCGCCTCATGAGACAATATGTGTGCACTGTGATGCTGCGTAGGTAGGTGTGAGTCAGATTGCAAATGCTGTGATTTCCAAGTATGGGCGAACGCGAACATGTTCAGTGTGTGCGTACCACTGAAATGGGCGTATCACTGAAATGGGCGTACCACAGGCACGGTGTGCAGGGGATGATCGTCCGCCATTCGCTTGACGAGAGTTGTCAGCACTGACTGTGGTGGGGTAGGGGGTGGGGGTAGGGCAGGAAGCGGCAAGGTGCATGGGCGAACATGGTGAGTGGGTGCCTTGCGTACCACAGGCACGGTGTGCATGGGGATGATCGTCCGCCATTCGCTTGACGAGAGTTGTCAGCACTGACTGTGATTGATTGATGGGAAGCACGGCAGGGAGCAGCGAGGAGCATATGGAAGGGAAGAAAGAGAGATAACGTGATGTCTCTCTGCTTGCATGCAGGTGCTCCCGAGGAAAGGGACCCAACAAGCAAGCATGCCGAGGAGAGGATAGGCACATGTCTAGCAGATGTCTTACAGAAAGTGTGGCCAACTTAGAAAGAGGTATAGAACGTCAACCATAGCAAGCCGCCGGCCACAATCAAACGGTGGCTTAGGGGGTACTTGAAGTAAAGCAGGTGAGATTTGAGAAAGCAGGTGCTGGCTGAGCAACCTTACAAGTGCAAATAACTATAACATTTTTGCGGCGCCTCAAAAGATTTTTGAGGCGATTTTTGAGGCGCCTCAAAAACCTTGCAAGTGCAAATAAATAGAACATTTGGTGTGTGCTAATTTAGGTAGCATTTGGTGGCAGACGAACTGAACTGAACTGAACTCAACTGACCCCCACCTGGAAGTCAGGTGTGTCAGGGTGGAGAGGCGGTGAGCCGTGGGGGTCTCGCTCACTCATGCGGGATGCCATCTGGTAGACCAGCGGTAGGAACTTGTATGATGGCACCTGGGGAGGGGAATGGCAGGGGAAGTGGATGGCAATGGAGTCGACTGACAATATTGATGGCAGGAAACTTGTATGACGGCACCTGTGGAAAGGAGGGCGTGGGTGGCATGAAGCGGGTGGAACGCGTGAGAGCTCTGCTGGAAGCAGGGGAGCACGTGGTGCTGCACGTTCTCCAGCCCCTATTGGGGGTGCTGGGCCCCCACTGCTCCTGTATGCGTGCATGTTGGCCTTTCTTGGTGTCAATGGTTACTCACATACATACACGTACTCGCACAGAAAATCTCGCCCAGCAGAATTCATGCACCTGTAACGGAGAAGCGAAATGACTGACCGTCTGGATGGTTGTGAGCATCTCTGCATTCACCGCGTCTGCCGTGGCATCATTGAGCAGAGTGAACCAGAGGGCCGTCAGGCGGAACACCTGTGGGCATGCGGGCGAGTGGGCAAAGGGAAAAGGAGAGGCATCACCAGTGGGAAGGTGGGGTGTGGTGGTTGGAATTTGAAATGAGAGCTAGGCAAGCTGGGAACGGGGAGGTGCTATTGGTGGAAAGGTGCAAGCGTGCCAACCAGCTACTGTCACGTTTTTAGCTTGTTACCACCCTGATGCAGCACAGCACAGCAAGATCGCTTCCAAATGTTACTGCTTGCAGCTCATGTATTCTATCATCACGTTCATATGTCCTCAACTGAGACGTTAACAGTAACCGCTTTGATGGTTACCAACCACTTCAACAGTTACCACTTCAACAGTTACCACTTCAACAGTTACCACTTCAACAGTTACCACTTCAACAGTTACCACTTCAACAGTTACCACTTCAACAGTTACCACTTCAACAGTTACCACTTCAACAGTTACCACTTCAACAGTTACCACTTCAACAGTTACCCCTTTGATGTTGAACGTGTCGGCCGCAAGAAGGCAGTTCCTGTAATTATCGAGAGCAGCTCGCAGGTACATGTCATGCTCGCCCTGCACTCACCACCGCACGGCACACCACATCACATTGCAGCACAGCAGAGCACAGCACAGCACGGCACGGCACAGCACGGCACGGCACGGCATGGCACGGCACAGCACGGCACGGCACGGCACGGCATAGCACGGCACGGCATGGCACGGCACGGCACGGCACGGCACAGCACATCGCAGCACACCGCAGCAGAGCACAGCACACCAGACCGCAGTGGTAGAGGAAACCACAGGTCCTGTTTGATTGAGCACGACTCGTCTTATGTGCCATAAATCCACGTGGCAGCGACTGAATGTTTGAATAAACACAACAGGGTGAAATGCTTGCCTGTGTTCCTTCGTAAAAAAGTGACTAAAGAGCAGTTTCGGCTTATTGCCTTCTGCGGGCCACCAAGGGTGGACGGCAGGCGAATGGAGTAAGGGATGGCAGGCAGGAGGGATGGCACGTGATTGAGTGAGTGAGTGGGAGGGGAGGACAGGCGGGCGGCGCACCTGCAGATCGTTGGCCTCCTGGTCATCCATGCCCAGCTGCTTCTGTCGCTCCACTTTTGAGGCGCCTCCTAAATAATAGGTGAGTGAGCCAGTGGTAAGGGGGAAGGGGAGCAGAGGGGGGGCGCACCTGCAGGTCGTTGGCCTCCTGGTCATCCATGCTCAGCTGCTTCTGCAGCTCCACTTTTGAGGCACCTAAAAAATGGTAGGTGAGTGAGCGAGTGGGAAGGGGGAAGAGGGGCAAGGGGGAGGGGCGCACCTGTACAGGTCGTTGGCCTCCCGGTCGTCCATGCTCAGCTGCTTCTGCAGCTCCATGATCTTCATCCCGTACACCCGCCTCTCGTCCTCCTGATATGAGGTGGGTGCCGTGCGGTGCAATGCGGTGCCATGCGTGCGGTGGGGTGAGGCAGTGTCATGTCAAGTCGGGAAGAGGATCTTGTTGGGCTGACTTGACAGTGGATGTGCGTAGACAAGAAGACCGGGCAGGGTGCTGTTCAGAAGAGAGGTGGCCGGCACAGTGGGCACAGCAGGCACAGCGGGCACAGCGGTCTCAGACTCTCAGGTGCACTCACTCGTCTGGACGCCTTCAGTCGCTTTGTCATCTCCTCCAACTCCTTCCGCTGCATGCCATGCCATGCCATGCCAGGAAGGCAGAGAGAGAGATGGTGGAGGGCAGTCAAGCAGAACATGGGACGACAGAGGTGAGCAGGTGAACAGGTGAGAGCAACTCGCATGTTCCCAACTCCACACTTTCAACAACAGTAGCAATTGGTGTCTGCATCCTTGGCTACATGCATGTCAGCCATGTGCGTCTTGTGTGCACTTCCTGTGCCGCCATGCCTCTCTCTCACCCCACCTTGTGCCCCTCTCACATCTCGCCTTCTGCCTCTCACCGCACCTTGTGTTTCCTCAGCTCCTAAGCAGCGGTCCACTGCTGCGAGTGCAGCCCAGGCTGCAGGCATGTCGGCCATGTGCGTGTTGTTTGCGTGCTATGTGCATGCACTTCTCTCTCATCTCTCCTCACCTGCTGCCTCGCTCTCACCGCACCTTGTGAGTTGCGGAAGAGGAGAGACATTTGGACGGACACGAGAGAGAGGGTTGGGGAAATTTGAATCTGAGATGGGAGAAGATAGAGAATCTGAGATGGGAGAAGATAGAGAATCTGCGATGGGAGAAGATAGAGAATATGAGATGAGAGAAGATAGAGAATCTGGAGAAATGGAAAACAGTTAGAGGGGAGAGAGGGATGGCGTGGATGGGATGGGAGATGACAGGATGAGAAATGAGTGGATGAGGGATGAGTGGATGAGTGGATGAGTGGCTGACCTGGAGGAGGACGAGGCGGG